ACCTTAAAGTGCGAGTCGGGCACACAGCATTGCTATGCAAACGGAGCTTCCGCACAACTGCGGCGGATACCTGAAGTGCTCGGGAGAGCCCCCTCACATAGATTTGTGCGCTGCAGTTCAGGAGACATGAGGCCTTCTCTGACTTTTTGGTCGAGTCACCTGCCCCAGTATTACACCACATGCGGTGCGACTCCACGTCTGGTCAGCACCCGCAGGACATGCGAGTGGACATGCGGGATCGAGCACGGGCTCGCCGAGCATGGGCTCCGAACGCGCAGAAAGGAATCCCGGAGCGTGAGTCAGCTTAGCGTCGGCACGATTGCGGAGCCCGAGCTCTGTGGTGAGAGACAGGCAGGGCACTGAGCTCAGTGGGCAGTGAGTCCCAAACTCCTACACCCTCAAATCCTCGAGAACGAAGGTGGTTTCGGGGCCGTTTGGTTCGGGTTGTCGATTCCACTTCGGACCCGTGCATCGAGCTCAGACCATCCAGTTGGCCTTGGAGGACATGGCTGCGGGCGCAGCGGGCGCACTTCAAGCATCTTTTGCAGTCTCGTCGTGGCGAAGTCGAGAGCTGGAGCTTGCAGAGTAGCGCCCGCAGCGCAGGGAGCGCAGGGCTCCTCGGGAAACGCCGCAAAGGCCGCAAGGCCAGGCGATGCACTCGGCGCCTCAGGGTGTGCGCCGAAGCCGATCAACCGACCGATCCCAATCCTGTCGAAGCCGAAGATGTCTTTGTGAATGCCTCCAATGCGAGTCGCCGAATGAAGCTGGCACGAAATGGACGCACATGGTGCGACAACAACCTTGTAAAGGCCGTATCACGCCGGGCACTGCCGAAAAGGGGAAGATGAAAGTCTCAGCTGCCAGAGTTTAGCGGCGCAGCGAACCCCAACCTCTGCTACTTTACGGCACACTGCCACCTTGATCCGCACAGCAGCATCGTCAGCAACTCGGAAGACAGTCGACCCACCAACACTGCCACCTGTTCCTGCAATCGGGTCTTCATCCCGGCTGACGGAAGCAGCAAAGCCTCAGCTTCACCTGCATCCTGAAACTTGGTCCTGCAGAGGGCTTTGCCGCCAAGATATGACCGTCCCATTTTGGGAGCCACGGCAGGCCAGCACACCCAAAGGATTCGTCGAACGGGCCCCGACGGATCCGGCACACGGCTTCATACAACTTCTCTGGATTGTGATAAAGGGAGGAGCCAAGAAGGCCAACGCCATCCCTTGCCTCTGATTCAGAAGCCAGAATACACAACAGAAAAGCTTTGGGGCAGAGTGCGCCTCGTTGGGTCGCTAATGGTCAGCTGCTTTGGGTGGAACGCAGCATCGCCGGTCACATTGGATGACTCACGGGCGCAAGGTGTGCTTCCCGCTTGCGACTGCCATGCACTTTGCAGTCGCTCGCCTTCGCTCTGACGACACACCGTGTAGCCGCTCGGATCTTGCGAGCGGCCCAGCGACCCTTTGTCGGAGATGCAAACCGAAGAGTCGACTTGGGCAGCTCGAGCAAAGACACCGCGGTTTCCCGTCGTCTGGAATGTGTTCGTAAGACACGGCACATTGTCACCGGCCCTTTCAGCTGCCTATTGCACCTGCTGCAGCAGCCATGCAGCCTTGGATGCTGGAGCTGCGGGCCAAGCGTAGAAATCACACTTCACATGCTTGGTGTGCCTTCTGCAAAGTGCTCGCCACAGAGCGGCAGCGAAGACCTCGGCTTTGCGGACGTCTACGAACTTCCGCTCTGCTCCGAGAGAGCTTAAAGAGAAGAGGAGAGAAGAGACGAGGCCGGCAAGGAGAGGCGAGTGCGAGACGAAGTGGACTTGGAGGTGACCGTGTCCCTGACAAGCGCCACGGCGGCCATGGCCATGGGAGCTCTGAGCGAAAGCGTTGGGGGAAGGCGGCCTGGGCCCCCTCCAGATGTTTGCGGCTTAAAGGCCCAGAGACGATTGGCGACGGCGGCCCCGGCGGCGACGTGTGACGGTCTGCGAGAGCCGCTTTGGGCGCTCCGAAGACTCCACTTCACTCGAAACGCACTCTGCCTGAGAAGCGCAGCAGGCAGCGCCTCGCTGCGACTCTAGCACCTGCTCTGGCTGCAAACGCAACGCAGACAGGGCTCCCGTGTGTCCGACTCCTCTCAGCCGGAAAGAGAGCCCTGGACAGACAGCTCCTAGGGAGCACAGGCAGCTCGTCCCGTAGTGCTGCGATGCCCATCAAGAGCCTTCGCAGGCCCTGCTTCAGACGATGACGGGGCCACCCTCTACAGCCCGTGCAGCTTCCATCCTAGACATTCCCGCCGCAAGGCTCCTTCGATGCTTGGAGACTTTGCTGAAACCTGAAAGCCCCAGAAAGTTCAGAGCTGGCGTCGAGCTGAAGGTCCTCTTCTCTTGGACGTCCTCTTCCCAGAATTCGATGCAAAGTCCGAGCCCTGCGCTGCAAACCGAGCTCCACGGTCGCGGGAACCCCATCGGGCACGTCCGAGCAGATGCTTTAATGCCATGTGAGATCCGCTTACGCTAGCGATGCTAACAAGTCCTCTATGTTTCAACCCCGCATCTCTGCTACCGGTCGGCCGCAGTGCTCGAAGCAGGCATGAACAAAGACTCGGCTCAGACGGAGCCGGATCTGTTTCGAAATCTCAGCGGCGATCGGGCTACCGAGGCCTCAAGAGGTTTCCGCAGAGTCAGCTTCCAAGTGGACGATCGACGGTCCTTAGTGGGGCGGGGGTCGCAGGCGTCGCTGGCTCACTGACTGCTTACTGCGTGGGACCAATCAAACGAATCTCAAAAGCATCCAGGGGTCACAGCTAAGAGCGGAGTTTGCAAGTTACAGCTCCAGCGCGTGGTGCTTCGGGGCATCATGCGGCACAGGCCGTGACCCATGCCCGAAACGAGCCAAGCGGATCAACCAAATCTGCCTTGAAGCAAATGCTGCACCAGCCGAGAGGCCCAGTCCTGCACTGCAAGAAAAACATCACAGCCCTCTACTTCAAACGCAGTGACAACCCAGAACAAGTTGAAGAAAGAACTTCGCATCCGAGGGGCGTTTCGTCGCATCTCCAAGCGGGGAGATCTCGGAGAAGCCATGGGAGCTCAGGAGCGAGAACTACAACAAAACTACCCGCCCCGGGCCTCGGGTCCTTTCTGGACTGCCAACTTTACCCTCGGCCCCAACGGACTTCCAAGCACAAACGGCTGGGCAGGCTTTGCTGTCAGACCCACGGCCCTACGGCCTAGACCATCACAAGCGCGCGGCTGCATGGATTCGCCATGTCTCCCGTAGCAGACCCTGCATAACATTCCAGTCTGACCCAAAACTCAACCAAAAGCGAACTTTACTTTTCAGGCTGCTCGTCTTGTCGAGGTGAGACGGAGGCTGCTTGATGTCCTGCCTTTTGCCGCACCTGTCCGAGATTTCAAGCAAGTTAAGGCCCTTAGCCCAACTAGGATCATGCGGGAACTAACAAATTGCTGCTGCGAATTCTCCTGAAATCTCCGAAAAATCCTTGAGCCCTCGGCATTCGATAGCTTATGGCTCAGCAAGGACACACCCAGACATTCCAATCTCCCCAAAACTAGAAAACAACTTGTTTTACTTCGAACATCCCCAACCTACAGATAATGCATTTGCGAGGCCTGTCAAACTACTGTACAGTAAACTGTACATTGGAACTAGTATACAAGCAGTGGTAGTGGCACTAACACTACGTTTATGTCGCCCCAGCCGGTGTAAAGTCGCCCCAAGCCCTTTGGCACACGGCATGGGGGTGAAGTCAATCCAAGAGGGGTGATGTCAGCCCAACAACAGTGAAACTTCAGTCATTTTGCAAGGGCACACGCATTTTTGGAGTGTTCACGGCTCAGACTCAAAATGTCGCGTGCCCTTCGCACGGGTTCCTCATTACAAATTAGTGGCCAACGACCACATGCGACAACCCAGTGTGGATGTCAGCAAGTTGGGCCATGGATGATCTTTTCTGGGAACATGGACGTCATCATGCTTGGGGGTGGGGGCCCCCGGTGGGGGGGGGAAACAACCTAACCTAGCACTAACCGAAACCCTAAGCCCAGCTTCCCCTGATCAGGGACCTAGAAAATACGAAATAAAACTAAACGATGGGCCCTAAACCCTACGTGCCCGTTGACCCCTGTCTTGGGGAGCAAGGCGCCCTAAACCCTAAGCCGGGTTTCCCCTAAAATTTGGGGACCTCGGCACATATGTCCTAAACCACCCTGAAAAAACCCAAGGAAACCACCCCCACACGCAACCGCAACCCTAGAAACCGGGGGGGCAGGGGGCGGGTTGGGAGGGAGGGTTTGAGCCAACACAAACACGCCTATGTACAGAAGCATGGGGAGGCGTAAGCGCTCGAGTGCTCGATTCACTTCAGTCGACGATGCATAGGTATCATAGGGTCACACCACTGACTGGCATGACGGTCGTGGCGTCCCCGGTCACGTAACAAAACACAAGTGTTCGATTCAGGTCATGTTCGATTCAGGTCATTCGACGATCCATCGTACGCATAACGAAACACGTGTTCGATTCAGGTCGGAGGCTTTCAACTGCTACGCGGTCACGAATTTCGAGCTTCAAATCGCTTCATAACGAACCCCAGCTTGCTCAGTAGCAGTAGATGCAACCCGTCGTGCTAGCAAGGCTCCTACGCCTCGGCGCTAAAAGGAGCTGGCCTTGAAGAAGTCGACGATCGCGGATGATAATGACCTGATCGAGCAAAGGAGATCGCAAGGCGCTCTAGTTACAAACAAGATGCGGGAGGGTGGGGCGGCAGCACAAGTGCAGAGACGCACGCAGAACCTAAAATTCCGCGAAGCCCGAAAACACACGAAGCGATGGGGCAGCACGGGATGTCTACAGGAAAACGGAGAAGCTTTTACCGGCGAGCTAGCAGCCATCGACCCTACGTCTCAGGAACAGCCTTGAAATCGCAGGCGGGCTCCGCTCAAAAAACCAATCACGGCTTCTATAGCCCGTCGATTCTCAGCCACGAGGAGGAGGATAGCCAGGCGGAGGTGGCGGTGGCTCGCGTCGAATCATCGCACGAATGGCGGCGGGAACCTCAATCTCGTGCTCCTGAAGACCGAAGTAAGACGCCGCCATTCCACCCCATTGGGAGGCAGGAATTCGCCCAAGCATCTGAGTTCAAAGGTTTCACAAATCGAAAAGTCCTTTGTTTGTCAAGCCAAAGCTTTCTTATTATAGCGTCGGCCAAGATGCTACCGATTCGGACAAGTGCCTCAACTGCCTCTGGCAACGCAGCTCGTCGAGAAGCTCCCGCTCGCGCTCCGTCTCGGCACCCAGATGAACGGCAGCTCGGGGTATGCAGGACTCCACGCTCGGTCCTGTTGCCCTGTCCACACTGCCCGACGACTCTGTTGCCCTGCACGACGACTTCGCCCTCTGTGATGCTTGCTTCGCCTTCTCCGCTGCTTGCCTGGCCTTCTTGAGGGAGCGGTTGGAATTGGGATCGGGCCGCGTGTAGTTCGTACCTTTTGGTGGCGGCCCGGGAGCCTTCGCAGCTGTCGCTGCCTTTGGCGGCGCTCCAGGCGACTTCGCGGCTATCACCGCCTTTGGCGTCGGCACCGCCGCAATCGGAACACTCGCTCCAGACGCCTCCCCAGCAGCAGTAGACGAGCCTCCACCGCTGTTGAGGATGTCCCGTATAGCAGCGTCCGTATCTGGATCTCTGCCGGCCATGGCTTCAGTGCCGCTTGAAGCTAGAAAACTAACAGCGATAGAGTGAATGGTCTATGACTTCGCCGAAACCGGCCTGACTGAATTGTTTAAGCCGCCATCGTTCAAGAACAAATTTCTCGATCCACAACCTGCGGTAAGATCATCGCTCCACCTTCCCGAGAATGCAATGACTCACTATCCTCGGAGCGCACTGCCACGTCGCCACACTCACCACCAATCCTGAAACGAACTCTGCACTTTGGGGATCCTGCCGACGAAGTCGGACTCGTAGTGCGACGGAGCCAGAAGCGGAGGCGGCCTGGGCAATCCCGAGATCCCTACCATGCAACCTACGCTCCTACCGATACTTGCGAGGTTCCGCGTAGTAGTCCGCAAAAAGCCAGCAACTCTCCACTCTGCGAACTATTACTGTGCAGAGAACTGGGACGAGCTGAGAAGCCAACGTCTCGCCAGGATCAAAGAAGATGCCTGGCTAACCACTTAGCGCGAGCAATGGCATCAAATGCGACGCGGACTAAAACACAGAGCCGTCTGCCTGCCGCAACGTCGAGCTTTATGAGATTCTTTGCCGGCCACAGGCTGGGTTTCCTAGATAAATTAATTCTTCATTTTTTCTTCATTTCGGTTATCATTTATTCTTCGTTTGTTTCTTCATTGGTTTCATCATTCTTGGGAGCAGCCTTCATTTTTTCATCATTTTCGCCTTCGTTTGGTCCATCATTTCCTGGGATCCTAGGAATCCCAAACAAAATCCATAAAAACAACGAGAAAATGAAGAAAAAATGAAGATTTCTACCGGGTTTCTTTGGCCAGAGCCCCAGGCTGGA